TGTTTTTGTGATATATATATATATATATATATATATATATATATATATATATTAATTGAATACTCAAATTATAAAGTTATAATTGATTTGATTAGTGCATTCAATTTGATTAGATTACTATATTATATATTATTACATTACAAGTGTTTATTTCCATATATAATTCAAATACGAGGTACAAGAATATATAGGAGTTATTAACTAGAAATATCAAACATCTAAAGATGAAGAAAATTAATTATACAAACTCAGTCGAGAATTCAAATTAAGTAAGAAAAGGCAAAGAAAATGGTGATGAATTGAACACGAGATGGGAACTCAGTCACTCACCCTAAAGACTAACCAAATTAATCCTGCATGTATACAAAACAAAGGTCATAATAATAATACTATCATCAGATTACATTCAAACGACCCAATTCGCCCGCGTTGCGGAAACAGAAGCACGAAATCAAGGAAAAAGCCTGAACACGGACGCAGGTGCTGCCACGTGTCCATCTTCCCTGAAGTGTTCTCTTTCTTCGTTGATCCACTGTGTTGTGTGCGTTTGTTCCTAGCTAGCGACGCCCGTGCGCGTTCCCGTCGAACAAATCGTCAATGTAAGTCTCTATATCCTCAGCTTGGTACTTTACATACTTCTCGGTTTGTCTGCCCGGGTCCAAATACTGCGAAAACCTCCCCAAGAAGGATCTGTACGCAGGAATAACAAGTGCAGAGATGGAAACCCTAAGTTCCGATTGAAGCTGTTCATCGCTCACCACCCACATGCTCTGCGTCTTGTGAATCTCCTCAAATGCTGCGTTGAACGCCTTGAAGCGCTCCTTCAGGACCGGCTTCTGCACCTTCCCGTGATCGCTTAATCCTTTAGGGCTCAGGTAGCTCAGAATCTTGCTCCACGTCTCCACCTGGTAGTTCTTGTGGTAAGTCCTCAGCTCCGTCGATCTCTTACGACACCACGTTTCTCCCATCACTTGGTAGATCTCCGCAGAACCTTTTATCTTCTGCACTATGTACCTTCCATTGTTCATCATGAAAATGCAGCTCAACGCAACCTCCTTGTACAGCTTCGCCTTCCCCTCCAGATTCGAGTCCAGAAGTTCCATCACCCGCATTAATTGTGCTGCAAACGGCGACTCATCCTCTTTGTGTTTGTTCTCGTTCTTCGGTTTGCTCTCCTCGGTTTCGTAGCGAGGCCTGCTAGTTGAATCCGCACGCTCGATTTTCGAATGCTCTTTGAACACTTCCTCCAATGTATCTTTATACTCACACGCTAACCTTAGGTAGTTCATGATATAACGTGTCAGAGGATGAACCGCGCCTCCCGCCACCGGAGTTCTTCCAGTCTCCGATTTAATCGAATTCTCCAGGTCGCAGAATATTAACACTGCTGCCTCTCCGAGACGACATTTTGCGGATGTCGTTTCGGTCTTGATTTCCCCCATTATGTCATCCGGGAACAAGGTCTCCATTATTGGAATGGCGTCTCGTAGAGTCTCGTACATGTCCAAGAGTTTGAAGAGTTTTTCGCCGGCGCGCTTTGTCATGGCAACGCTCTCCCCGAAATTAAGCAGCTGAATGACAATTGAGCGGGAAATGTTGCCCATGAGGCTCACCACGGTGTCAGCTTCCTTGCCGAACACCATTTCCACTAGCTTTCGCTCTCCCGGGAACCATACAGAGGTGCACTCCTTCCAGGTGTTGATCCATGTGGGGATTTCGCGCTCCAGTGTCTCCCACTGCATTCTCTGAATCTCGTCTATGCTGAGCTTCTCGTACCCAAGAATTTTGTTCATGCCGTCCTCAAACGCATGCCTCCGCGAAAGTGCGTAGACTTGGCAACACTCGTTCTCGTAACCGCTGGCTACCATTTCCTTGGCGACTCTGTTCAGATTCGCAATGGCTTCCTCCGCGAAACCTGGGAATTCGGGAATACTTTCTTCGAGTGGCTCCGACTCTAAGGAGTCTGCCACCTGTTGTTTTCCCTTTGAGTCTGGTTTATTTGGGTTTCTAGATTCTTCCATCAGTGTACGGAACTCGTCCTCCAAAAACGACATCACACGCTGCTGAATCACGCTGACGCCGTTGATCATGAAGTCTATTCGGACCGTCACCTTCTCCTCGTCCTCTTGTTCTTTCTCTGCATGAGATCGCGAGTACTCTATGAAATGGTTCATCAGCCTTGAAATGCGATTCGCGCATCCCAAAAGCGAGGAATCGTCTTCAATTGTTTCTCCCCATTTCATTTCACCCGTGTCGTACTTCACTATCTTCTGTTCCACCAGATGCAAGAAAACGGGGATGAAATTAGGGATTTCCAATGGTGTTGATTCTTTGGCATGGACTTTTTGTTGTAATGTCACGAGAAATTGGTCAATCTCATCTAAAACCTTCTCGAGACTCGGAACCGGAGATTCCGGTTCAGCCTCGACAGTTTCTTCTTTCTTTTCTTTTTCCTCCTCTTCTTTGGATTCTTCCTTTTCAGTAACTCCTTCCGAATCTGTGGCCTTTTCAGTTTCGCCGTCGGGTTCCACGTCGGGTTTGGCATCATCGGGTTCGGTGGCGGGTTTCGCATCGGATTCAGCTTCGGCTTCGGCTTCGGCTTCGGCTTCGGCTTCGGGTTTGGCATCGGATTTAGTGTCGGGTTTGTCTTCAGATTCCGGAACCGGCAACTGAGTAGTT